TGTGGTCTGGGTCGCCCAGGTAAAGGGAAGGTTCCTTTGTCCAGGGAAAGAGAGCCGAGGAGGAGCATCTCAGCAAAGAGTGGTATTTTCGATATATTTACCTGTCCTTCCCTAAGATTTTCTCGAGTTCTACGCCTCTGCAATTCCAGTTTTGATTATTGGGGCGAATAATAAATTACAGCAAACCACTAGGTTTACTTCTAGGGAATTGCGATAACTTCAATTCAAATTTATATCATTGTATTTTAAGCCTAATTTTTGTAACATTCCACTATTTTTCTGCGCTATCTCTAGCTTTTTTAGACAAAGGAGTTTTAAGATCATTATTTCCCAGGTATCTTAGTAGTGTTTTGAGAGGAGACTTTTTTTTTTAGGGTGCTTTCAAAGTATACCACATACACTGGTGAAATTTCAGTAGCACCAGTCCTAGAGGGAAAATCTGAATTTGGACTCATGAATGCTGATTTCTAAAGCATTCTCATTGGCAAAATCATGAAGAAAACGTTTTGCGGAAAAATAAATTTTACGTTTACCAATATATGCATTATTTTAATTAAAGGAAGAATGACTTAACACCTTTTAAAGGGTAATCCTAATGTAAAATCCCTCTTTAAATTAGAAAAATAACTTAAAAAGCATTACATTATTTTGGTTCAAACAGGCAAAGATAAACATCATCTTTTCCACAGTAACTTCTTTCATGGTAAAATATTCAAGCATGAATATTTTAAAAACAAGCTCAAAATGGATTTACTGAAGAGATGCTGTTTAAGAACATTAAATTCTCATCCAATCAAAATCAAATATTAATAGAGAATTTCATAAAAACTGGAACGGGGAAGTGCCAGTCCTGGCTCACGAGCTGCCTGCCCCTCTCACTTTTGAATCTTCACCTTAACCAGTCCCACTCATGGCCACCACGGAGTGAAACGGACTCTGTGGCTTAGCAAAGACCCAACCCTGGGAGGAGATGACAAATAAGGGAGTAGGACGCACATTCAAAAATTATCTTCAGGCTCCACATAACCTGTCTGTAAACTCCCCCTGGGGGAACAGATTGCATTGCACCTACCCTCCTCCCCTCCCACCAGAGCAGGCCCAGCGTGGCGCCCTTCTCTTTATGGTGAAGGCCACGCTGAGATAAGCTTTGATGAGGAGGAGGCTTCTTGGGATGATAAAGAAGTCTAGAGAACCCAGGATCTCACTTTCAGGTGACCCAGCATCTGCGTCCCTGCTCCTTTCCTCTACAACTGCCTTTCTACCTGTTGTTATGGTATTCCTGAATTTACCCAGCTACGGATGTCTCATCCCGTCACTTGTAAAAGTCATGCTCTTAACTCAAAACGACAGAGATATCTAATTAGCCTGAAAAATTGCACTACATTTAGAGTTCTCTTAGGCATTATATGTTAAGAAAGTTCTACAAATCCCACCTGATGATCCAAATATATGGTGTTCCTTTGAAGATGATGCGAAAGAATTTCATTCTAGTAGGCATCAATCAAGAAACAAAGGAGTAGAGAAAGAAGGGGCAGAATTCATGAAAAGGTCAATTTTGAAATAAGAAAAAGCAGGTAGTTTACCACAACCTATAATATCACAATATCACGGTAACTTTGATACACATGCTCCCCTACACAGATGGCAAATGAAATTATTGTAAGATTATACTTAGTTTTCTAAGAAATTAAGTAGACATGCACACAAGCCGAAATGTTAAGCAGAGAAATCCTTCACATGGCTTCAGCAGATGCAAAGGTAGAAGCTTTCCAGGTTAATTCTTTTCTGCAGCATAGTAATGCTTCTTTGGATCTTTCTCATATAATTAGAGGCTATTAAACCCTTTGAGAAATGTTTACATGCGTCTATTCTTTTTTAATCAAGAAATATCATAAAAGTAATCTCCGATATTTAATAAGTAGTATTAGAACTATAATCAATATCGTAGTATTAGAACTATAATCAATTTCCAACTTATTGCTTGATGGGAAATTATAGGACTTTTCAATATCCGTCTTACCAGAGGCAGGAAGTTACAGGATTTGGTTAGGTGACAACACTATTTTGAAGTCTGTTTGAATGTCACTGCTCACAACCAAAAGTTGGCAGGGAAGTAGGTGGATGGAAGGCTAAGCAGCAATGCATCCTCCCGGTATTTTAAGAGGATGTGCAAACACGTGAGTTCTCAAAGGGTCAATAGGCGATCCTAACATTGCTGTCCTTGCGATGACGGTATGGGCTCATGCTCACCACCAATGACCCCGATCAGACTGATTAATAGGTGACAATGGCAGACGACACAGACAACGCTGTTCATAGCTGACCTTCGGGCTGTGGGCCTCGAGCTTTAGCTGCATGAGCTGTGCTAACGTGTGCTCCCGGATACTACTCAGTTCCGCTTGCTGCCGTCTCAGCTTTATGAGCAGCAGCGTAAGCTCCTCTGGCTGAAGGAGTACAATTTAAGAATCCAAACAGTGGAAAACAGATTAATGGTTGCCTTAAGGGACAAGACATTACACCAAGATTTCTTGGCAAGTTTCCTCTCATGGCTGACATCAAACATAGTGCCTAAGCACTATGATGATAGGTCCTACATAAATGCATAGACATCTAGAGAAATAGAAGGAACAGTGTTACTTTAAAAGAAGAGCAAAAAGGCAGTATATTAAGGCAATTTTCTCAGAACTCATGAGAGAAATTTAAATGTTAAGCATAAAAAAAAGCATACTGCTAAAAAGCACGACAAAGATTGTATATTAGAGGTATCAAAAGATTATTAAAACTAGTTCAATAAGATGTTTTAAAATGACACCTAAGACTTTTACACCAACAGAATAATACTGGCATGTCCAACGCTCTATCTTACAAAACAGAAGGTAAACAGAAAGAATTAAAATTCACGTAACACTTGGACAATACCTTTCCATCATTAAACTTAGTACCTGGGATCTGTTCATTGCTTTCCAGTTATGTTTTTAAATGCCACTGTTAGTACCTTCATAGGATAAAAAAAAAAGTTTTGACTTTTTAAGAAAAAAAAATTGTATATAGAAAGTTTTCATCAGTTCAGCAACCTCCTTTACCTTCTGGGGAAAGCAGAGAACCATTGTGGTTTCTGACTGGTTCCTATCACCCCCAAGTGGGAGAAAAATTCGAAGGTAGATAAGATTCCCCGCCAGGCCAATCTGGTAAGTTTTTCTTTGTTAGAAATACAGTAAAGTATGAACGCTGGCAGTGTTACGAGCCATAAAACAGCAGTGGGCGTTTCTCTGAGCTTTGCTCTGATTAAAAACTGCAGCCCCGCCAGAGGGAGGCCCTCCTCACCTCAGGGCTACAGGGTGCTTTCAAACTTCCAGGCCAAAAGCTCCCCTGAGATCGATTTTGTTTTGCCCACAACACAGCTTTATACCAGCTTCCTTCTGTTGTTCATTTGCTGTTGCTCTTTCCCGCGCTTCCCCCATACCATTTTATTTTTAGGGACAGAAATAATCTTAAATTTTTATTTAAAATGACATTAGGAACTTGGGCCTTGACGTGAGAAAAACGTCAGAAGTAAATAAACCAGTTACTACTGGCTTCTTTAGATAAAAGCTGCGTATAGAGATGAGACAAAAGTCTTTTACAGTAATAGTCTAAGAATGTGTGTATGACTTGAAGAAGAAATTTCGTAACAAAAAGAATAGTTGCTTTTAAACCGATGCTAACGGCATCTGTGACCTCATGACTGTGGGTAGTCTCTCTCTGTCTTATGACCAAGCCCCTGAGGCCTGACCAGGGGGAGGGTTAGGGTGGAGTAAGAGAAACAAATACCAGAGTGCTATTTGGCAGACATACCAAGAGAAATCTTCAAACTCTGGTATGTTGTTTATGGAGTTAAAAAGATAAAGAGATATTCCCACAGAAGGATGAAATATTCCAATTGAGTTTACAAGATATTTGAATTTTGAATCAAAATAAAAAAGAGGCACATCTGACTCCCTCAAAAGTAGATGCTAAATAATTTTTATCCTAAATACCCACTAGAGGGAGCAAGGCAGAAGAGAATATTTTATAGTATGATATTTAGCATTATCTCATGTCTAATGTCTGTTCATTAGATTTACAATTTAATATTTTAAAATTCCAACATCTAAAAGTTTTTAATTTTAGTCAAGCAATATTTTAACCTTGAATGAATAAATCGCAAGTAATTTAAAGCCAGGGAATCTTCCTTATATCTAAGTGTATAAAAGATAAAAGAATGTTTGTAAAATACATCTACAATGAATTTGTTCTGATTACTGCAGGAAGAGAATTTTAAATAGGGAACGACTACAGTATATAGGTCTTCAAATCACATCTCCACAGAAAGCGAAACTACCTACTGAGAGACACTAAAGCATAGTTCTCCTGATAAAAGAATGCCATTAAATAAAATGATGAAAAGTCATCTTTTCTCTTTAACTTGAATAATAGTGTCCTGATAATATAGCTCCTTCTCACCTTGAACATAACACTGATAATAAAATGATAATGATTAAGTATTTTTATAGCCTCTCTTTCTCTTCATAAATATGCAAATTAGTTTTTATTCTGCTCCAAAGTAGTTAATCTATCTAAAAATCCACAGGAGAAACTTCTTATGAGGCTTGTAGTTTGACTACATTTGGCTGCTTGCTGAATTGGTTCCACTAATGACCTATTCCAACTTATATCTTAAGGCTGAGGGGATCAACACCCAACGCAGTGGAGAAACCCACTCAGGTTCTACAATAAAAGGTCAAAATATGATCTTAGATGGAGGCAGTCAGACATTGTAGGGAGAGCTGGCCAGCCGGATTCTGAAATGGCTACATGATTCCAAATTCTTCTGATGAGCATTCTCTTCCACAAAAACATGCAGGGCTTTTCTTTGTGAGGCACCGGTTTGAAAATTCAAACTTACAAGTTATGTCAGATATGTGCTATCATGTCAGCACATACATAAAACACGATATGGTAAACAGAGGTATCATACTCACTGTTTTGCCTTGCAGGCTCTGGGGACTGACAGACTGTAGAGTCAGGCCAGCTGGCATTGACCTCCTGTCAGGCACATAGACATGCTAGGAAAACAAAGGCACAACATACATATTTCTGTGGTCAATGTGAGAGGTGAGAAATCTTAAATTTACAGTGTAGAATACCATTTAAAAATTGCTGTAGTGCTTATGAGAGAAGATAGTTACTGGTGGAGGTGGAAAAGAATATTGGGAGGCTTGGGCCAGGGGGTAAATGGTGATAGAAAAACAAATAAAATAAAGAAAAATAAATAAAATAATTAAAAACAAACAAAACAAAAAAACCAAAACAGCAACAACAAAAAAACCCAAAAATAGATACTAAAATTTCTTGACTAAAATATAGATGCCGACTGGGTAATTCTCTATCGCTCAGTGGTTCTTCAACTTATTGATCTCAGGAGTCCTTTAAAGCCTTAAAAAGAAAATTTACTGACAAGGGGGATACTGTTTTGCAGTTCTGAAAATCTAATGTCTGGCTAGCTTTTCATATTTGCTGCTGTATTCAATCTATTGTGATAATCCTTTTAGTGGAAGTACACAAAGAAAATCCCACCTACAATATATACATAGATATTGAAAAGGAAGGAGAACTTCAATAGCTTTTTTTGGCCGAAACCGGTTTGGCTCCCAGGTTCGATTCCAGTCAAGGGCATGTACGTTGGTTTCGGGCACATCCCCAGTAGGGGGTGTGCAAGAGGCAGCTGGTCGATGTTTCTCTCTCATTGACGTTTCTAGCTCTCTATCTCTCTCCCTTCCTCTTTGTAAAGAAATCAATAAAATATATATTTTTTAAATAGCTTTTTTTGGATAATTGTAAGTATCTCTGAAATTACACTAAATCTTGAGAAGTGATATTTTATTTTTTTTATTTTTTAAAAATATATTTTATTGATTTTTGTACAGAAGAGGACAAAAAATCAATAAAGAGAGGTAAGAGTTAGAAACATCATTGAGAGAGAGTCATTGATCAGCTGCCTCTTGCACACCCCCTACTGGGGATGTGCCTGCAACCAAGGTACATGCCTTTGACCGGAATCGAACCCGGGACCTTTCAGTCCCCAAGCCGACGTTCTATGCATTGAGCCAAACCGGTTTTGGTGAGAAGTGATATTTTCTTAAAGATTAGTAGCAAAGTGATATCTGAAAGTGTATCAATAAACTTTCGCACTCTGTTTCAGTAACCTCCATTAGTTTATTTGCAGCTTAAATGACTCTCCTACCCATTCATGAATTTGTGGTATCAAACATTGGTCACGTGGAAAATATTGGTTTGGTGAGTTATGCAGATTGATAGTACCACCACTGATCTTAAAGCACGGGAAAGCTAGCAAGCTCACAGAAGCAGACATGAGATTTCCAAAATTCTAATTTTTGCTTGCAAGCTCAAATGTTGTCACCAGTGACAGATACTGTCAGCTGCTTTCCATGAAGTGACGGGCTAACATTTCACTTTGAGAAGTGTCTGTCAAATACTAAGTCTGTCATTCGTTTCAATATTAAAACTATACTTTGTCGCCAAAACCGGTTTGGCTCAATGGATAGAGCGTCGGCTTGGGGACTGGAGGACCCGGGTTCGATTCCGGTCAAGGGCATGTACCTTGGTTGCGGGCATATCCCCAGTAGGGGGTGTGCAAGAGGCAGCTGGTTGATGACTCTCTCTCATCGATGTTTCTAACTCTCTATCTCTCTCCCTTCCTCTCTGTACAAAATCAAATAAAATATATTAAAAAAAAAAAACAAAAAAAAAAAACAAAAAAAAAAACTATACTTTGTCATTCATTCTTTCAAGTAAAAATGGTGTTTCATGAAAAAAAAAAAAAAGCAGCTAGTTCAGCTTGCAACTCAAACAATCAGACAAGTGTTTTTTCTGGGAGACAATCATTAGTACTCTGGTATGCAATAGAAATGCTTGAAGTATATTTCCTATTTCATCACACAGAATATTGAAATGGTAAAACTGTCCTTTACTGTTTTATCAAAGGAATTTTTTTTTTTTTTTGAAATGAGAGAGAGAGAAAGGGAGAGGTAGAGAGACAGAGAAAAACATCAATCAGATGCCTACTGCATGCCCCCTACCTACTGAGGTACATGCCCAAAACCTGGGCATGTGCCCCGATTGGGAATCTAACTTGCAACCTTTTGGAACATGGAACCAACACTCAACCAACTGGGCCATATCAGCCAGGGCTCAAAGGGAATCTTAAGAGAAACTGCTCCTTTATTTATTTTTATTGCAAGTATAAGGCTGCAAAGCATACAAGGACCTCTAGCGGGGTTTGGAGCCCCTCAATTTAGACTAAGGTACCAGTACTTCTACCCACCACTGCTTTGGCACTGTTTGAAAGTGGTAGCACAATGGAAAATGCCTTACTATAATAAAAATAGTTTTGAACTTACTTACTGAGAGAATCATGGAAACCCCCATGAAACCCCCACCTCCCTCCCAGTGGTCTATGGGCCATACTTCGAGAACCACTGATCACATCAAAGACAAGACTGTTGTCGGGTGGGGAGAACTGGCAATGTTGGGGAAGTTTATTGGGGAGGAGGAATTAACTGGGGACGGAATAAAGAGCACATATTCATTTGCTATTTATTGTTAAAACAGATGATAGGCCTATCTGGTTTGGTTCGGTGGATAGAGCATAAGCCTGTGGACCAAAGGGTTCTGGGTTTGATTCCGGTCAAGGGCATGTACCTCAGTTGTAGGCCCCTTCTGAGGAGGCAACCAATTGATGTCTCTCTCTGTCTTTCCCTCTATCTTACAATCTCTCTAAAAAAACCAATGGAAAAATAGCCTTGGGTGAAGATTAAAAAACGAACAAACAAACAAACATGATAAATTTTGGCTGGGAATACAAAAAATTCTAATAAATATGAGAACACTTTTCAAGCACACATTAGTAAGTTGTATTTGATCAAATTTCTCTCGAACATTGTTACTATCTTTATCACATAGGATTTGCCTTTGGATGTACAAAGTGACAGACACTAAACTGAGTGACAGTGAAGTTCAAAGTGACCCTTTCCTAGGCAAGGCTCACTTCGGCCAATCAGAAACTTCTGGATGACTTGTCAACTTCTAGCTAACTCTTATGTATGGAAAAAGCAAGCAAAGGCTTTAGACAATGATGTATCGGATAGATTCAGCCCATCACAAGGATAAGAACAAGTGTATCTTAAAGTGGTATAAAGCAAGAAATTCTTTATAATTAAAAAGAAAATAACAGCCATCAGAGAACAGGCTGTCTGATCGAAACAACTCTTTAGCATTATGAGAAGCTAGCTGATCGATAAGAATATCCCAAAGTCACTTCTAATAATCTGCTAAGCAATGCTTTAACTGACTTAAGATACGAATTAAAACATGATCTCTTAATCTCAATTCTTCAGAAGTCTACACTAGTAAGCGTCGTTATTCTCATATTAAATTAGTATGTAAGGAGATATTGCAATATGCCGTGTACTCAGCTGGTGGTCAGGAAACGAGGTTGGCAGGTGTAGAATCTGCGCGTGAGCGAAGAGCCAATAGAAATGCATGTGGTCTGAACCTACGTGGGAAGCGGATGAGAGATGCCACCAAGCAGAAGAATGCATAACGCATCCGCCCCAGGACCGTTCCTGTGCTCCTGAGAGGTTTGATATGAGGTTTTGACACTGCAGAATATTCTTCCTTAATTTTGAAAACAACAACAACAACAAAAGGAGCTACCTTGCCTGTTTCTCCCTATTTCTCTGTCTCACATTCATTGCAGCTGTTCTGTGAGTTTAAAATGACTTCGAAAATAAAAATAAACGCACACCAAAAAATATAAAAATAAATGAATAAATAAACGAGAGGCTAGCGTACTAGAAAAAACCCACACACCACAGCGCGCATGAAGCAGCGGCTGACACAAGATCAGCAGACACTTACCTTCGGGTGGTGGGCCCTGTGCCTGCGGTCTAGCGTCACGTCTCCTCTCTGAATCGGCGAGGTCACCTCGGACCGGTAGGTGCGCTGGGGAGAGTATCCCTGGTAAGCAGCTATTGAGCCGTGGGACGGCGACGTGGGGATCGAGTGCATGGTCTGGTCCGAGATGTTCACCATGGTCTTGGGGCTGGTCAGGGTCCCGTGCCGGGGGAGGGTGCTCTGCTTGTTGTAGAACTGGCGCTGCTGCCACTCGTACAGCTGCCACATGGTGTCGTCCCTCATGGACCTCCGCTTCTCCTCGGCGCCGGGCCCCACCGCCTTGTCATGCGGGGACGGGGTGCCGCTGCACAGGCTCTCGGGCCTGGTCTTGCTGTTTCGCGGGAGTGTTCTATACCCTTCAGGGTAGCGGGCCACGACCTGGGCTCGGTGGCTGGGCATATTCCTTGGTAACGTTTGGTAAGAAAGTACTCTAAAATGAAAGAATTGAAATATAAAAAGTGAAGGGGAGAATTGCTTTCCAGATTCTGCATTTTTTTTTTTTTCTTCTGGTAAGTACAATATATCTGAGGACTTTTTTCTTTTCTTTTTTCTTTTTTTGAGATCAACATATTGATTATTATACAAGGCATACATTATTATTATTATTTTTTAAATATATACTTTATTGATTTTGTACAGAGAGGAAGGAAGAGAGATAGAGAGTTAGAAACATCGATGAGAGAGAGTCATCGATCAGCTGCCTCTTGCACACCCCCTACTGGGGATATGCCTGCAACCAAGGTACATGCCCTTGACCGGAATCGAACCCGGGACCCTTCAGTCCGCAGGCCGACGCTCTATCCATTGAGCCAAACCGGTCTCAGCAAGGCATACATTATTAATTAATGAACACATTTTAATCTTTTCATGAAATTTAATTTGATGGATTTAGTACATTACATAAAGAATATCTATGTCACTTACATAAAAGACCATTAGTTCTGCACAATGTGGTTTAAAGAAGAAAGAATATTTATACTTCTTTTATAACAAAGAATATTCAATATCTAATTTCATATTTGTCTCACATCTTATTTGTTTTTGTATATGAAACAAACTCCCAGAATCTCATTCTCATACATATCACTAGACAGTTAAGTAGGATTTCTGTATATAAATGGAATACCAAAGTCTTTGAGTTGTGCCCAAAAAACATGAAGACAGGAAATGAATAATTAATTGCAGGTCTATGTGGCTCCTGTATTGTACCCTTTCCTACAGAAAGCATGATCATGGAAAAGGCACATCAGTATCCTTGTGTTTTAAAGAAAATAATTTCCCTTGGTTACTTTTCTTAACTTGAAAAATAAAAATCACTTAACGCTAAAGCTAAAAATCTAAAGACAAAATACTTAAAACCCTGACATAAAACTGCGAACAAAATCTGGCCAACTGAAAATATGGGGGATCTGGCTTTCTTACTTGGAAGATGCTTGTCAGTCAGGGAATTTGATGCCATTGGAGGAATTCTGCTCTAGTACCTAAGTAATTTACCCGGCATGCCTTCGTTGACTTGCTCTTCCACATACTCAAGAGATACTAGAGTGGCCTTGACATGCAAAAGGCTCTGGATGGGGCACTAAACTACATCACAGAAGCAGATACTGAAAATATAAATGGTATTAACTTTATATCGAGTTTGGAAATATCATATGTATGTGAAAAGATCATTTACAATCATATAAGGAAGGGGCATACATTGCCCACCCAAAACACACTAAAAACTGCCTGTGAACGAACGTGTAGCTTCCAGTTCGGAAAATGTAACCACAGCAGACACCCGTCCGTGCTCTGACGAGCTCATCGCACGTGAGCTGCACCCTGCTGTAGCGGTGTGTACTGAACTTGATCTGTAAGCCCATCACATGGTCACCAACACAGGCTGCTCTCCTACTCAGCTGGACTAATCAATAACCACAAAGTTTAAAAGCCTCCTCTGCCAGCTCTGGGACCACTTTTGGGGATTTTTTTTTTTTTTTTTTTAAATAAAATTAGGTGATTGACCAAGTAAGTTTATTTTTTATCCCATATCCTGTCCAGCATTTTGAGACCCGTTTTTCAAAAAAAACAACAAACAAAACACACACACACACACACACACACACACACACACACACACACACACGAGTTTCCTTCTGTCTTCCTCAAATAAATTCAAATGAAGGAAAAAAAAAAAAGTGATTTACTTTTAAAGGAAAGCTTAAAAGAAGGAACCCTGGGGGCTCCTCCGTCAGGTTTAGGGCTCCATTCTCCAGTGGCTGCCTGTCAAGCGCCTGAAAACCCAGGCCCCAGGACCCCCGCCAAGCAGAACAATGGCCTGAGGCCCCGTGCCCCTCGGCGGTGCCCCCCACTCACAAAGAAGGCTGGAAGCTCTGCTCTCAGACGCCAGGGCCTACTCTCTGGCTCCGCATTAAACCTGTTTTCTTTCCACCAGAACGTAAAGAATAAAAGGAAGCCTTTCTTAAAAGTTTTACAAAATAACTGATTACCATGAAATGCCATTAGGCTTCTACCCACCAATAAAAATTAAATTATTTCATTACAAAACTCCCTCCCTCCCCCAATGAGGTTTACATAATAATGGAGAGGATATATCTCAGTGGTCCATTATGGACATGAGCCAGTGAAGCCAAGGCTGGAAGAGCAAGGCAGAGAAACCTTAGCTCAAAATAACCTCGGGCCAGCAGCCTGCAAAGGCTGCCTTCGGAAGGAAAAAGTCGCAGGAAGTTTGTATGGATGTGAATTATACCCATCAAGGGGCCTAAAAGTGCCTGGGAACCAATTGCCATGCTCAACCATTTTAAAACCAACTCCCATCTATCTGTTGAACTTTTCTTTTTAAACTTTCAACCGTAAGAAAGTATGATTTTACGTGTAGAAAAGTGATTCCACAAAGAAGTGAGATTTGACTTGCTGGGTGCACATTCTGCAAATCTTCTGGCTGGCATTTTTACTGTTGTGTCCTGAAAATGATTACTACCTTAATAAGTATTTCCAAATATCCTTTCCTTCTTTTCTTCCTAGAACAACCTCTGGCTCCTCTTGGGTCTAATCAAATTTTACTTTTGGGAAATAGCAAATATTTCTGGCAATTCTCCCCTGGGGGCGTTAGAAAAGGGAGCCCTGAGGGTGCGGAGGAAGAATACAGGAGTGAACCACACAGCCCGGAGAACGTGTCTGCACCTAGGGGGAGCAAACCAAAGATGGAGCCAGCGCACCCAGGTGTGTGAGCTGTGCTGCTGGACAGAAGACAGACTTCGACTGACAACTGCAGATGTTGAGCAAACTGGAGGCACCTTCCTATGCCTTAGGAGCTTCACTATTAAGATAAGTTAATCTTCACTTAATCAAAAACATCAATGCCTTTGTTTTCTGTTACTGAGAGGTAAGTTCCAATAACTCTGAAGTTAATTTTTATGTACATATGCCGATACCTTAGAGAACTTTTTGAATCTTGCATCATTAAATTCCCGATGAACGACAGAGCACTTTTTCTCATCGCGCAGGTACCTGCTTTTCCTCCATTTCCTCTGGCCTTGGTTTTTGTCTCCTTTGCAGACAGTCCCTTACTCCTTCCCCTTCGCCCTTTAACTTACCCCGCATCATCATTCATGACCTCCTCTCTCCCCAAATCTTTCCTGCACAGTAAAAGGCACCAGGCAACTCTGATGACCAGGCCCCAGAGCAGGGAGTCTTTCTTGATTGTGCTCAGTCACTCACACCGGACTTGAGCGAGACCACTTTGCAATCAAGCACATTCGAGCACTCCACTAGACAAGTCAAATGTATCTTTTTTTTTTTTTTTTTAAATATTTTTTATTGATTTTTCACAGAGAGGAAGAGAGAGGATAGAGCTAGAAACGTCGATGAGAGAGAAACATCGACCAGCTGCCTCTTGCACACCCCCTACTGGGGATGTGCCCGCAACCGAGGTACATGCTCTTGACTGGAATCGAACCTGGGACCTTTCAGTCTGCAGGCCGATGTTCTATCCACTGAGCCAAACCGGTCTCGGCTCAAATGTATCTTGAACACGTCACATTCCACCCCCCCCCCCTCATTTCAGTTACTCCAATAGCTTTTGAACTTCCTCCAATTTATTCTCTAGATTCTGTAGCCAGGATGATCTTTCCAGAACACAAATCTGAATACATATATTCCTGCTTATCTCTCCAGCCTCGTTTCTCATCCAGCATTGCAGCAATTGTGTACTTAAGCTATACTGGATGTCTTTGGATTCCTTTTCCTGCTCTCTATCTAATCTGTATTTCTGCATATCTAAGCCAACAGGAGCATATCTTTGTATGTCAACTGTATCCTGCTCCTCCAGAAAGATTTTTTTTTTTTCCAGAAAGATTTTTGTGGGAATCCCTAGACTGCACTGGCAGTCCCTGAAGCATGTTCTTATAGCATCCTGTTCTTCCTCCATAATATTTGTCACTAGATACTGCACTCGTTTAGTTAGCTTTCTCCCCTCCTAGATAGAACCTCAGAGAAATCTGGACTGTACCTTTTCATTGTTTTATCTTCTGGTCCCATGATTAGCACATAATACTGATCAATAAACGTATGAAAGAACACGTGTGTGCATGAATGATAAATGCTTAGATGAATAAATATAATACTTAGTCATGTGTATTGTGCAAGAAAGTCAGGGAAGCTGAAACTGGTTTAGCTCAGTGGATAGAGCTGAAAGGTCCCAGGTTCGATTCCGGTCAAGGGCATATACCTTGGTTGCGGGCACATCCCCAGTAGGGGGTGTGCAGGAGGCAGCTGATCGATGTTTCTCTCTCATTGATGTTTCTAACTCTTTTATCTCTCTCCCTTCCTTTCTGTAAAAAAAAAAAAAAATCAATAAAATATATTAAAAAAAAAAAAGTCAGGGAAGGAGATAGAGAACTAGAGAGCATAAGCCATTACTTCTGTTACTTGCCACAGGAGATCTCTGCACACGTTACCAACGGAAGTCAGTCAGAGGAAGGAGATGGGGAGAGGGGGAGAGAGGGTTATCCCAAACAAACATGATCTCTACTCACAACCTAAGCCTTCTCCTGGGCCACGGGAGAATAACTCCTGGTCATCACTAGTAAAGTTGGGTGACAACAATAGGAGACAGAGAAAAACACACACATTTGATTATTTAAAAAAAAAAAAAAAAAAAGGAAAGTAAAGAAAAAAAGATATAGTAACAAAACTATAACATCTACATCACAATTTAAAGTAACACCTTTAACCGGCATCTCAGAAGCCAATCTCCCCCAACACAGTATGAAAGAAATGTAGGCCCATAACACGCAACAAGACACTCACCCTCTGGCTTCTTCTTCCTGACCCCTCCCCTTCTGGATTTTAATCCACTGCTCCAGCTGCTGCATTGAGTTGGTTCTTTGTATGATGCGGTCAGCCTCTGGGTGGAAGGGCCCCGCGTTTGGGTGACTGCCCCCTCTGAGATCCGCCAGGCTAACATTGACTGTTTTGTTCTCTGAACTATTCATATTGACCGGCCTGTAGTGTCCGGTCTGAGCCGGGCCTGTTGACCCATCATATTCAGATGGCAGAGAATTCAACTTGACACTATTGATTTTTGTTAGTGGTCTATCTTGACCATCCTTCTGAAATCCGTATTTTTCAGCTTCTAGCGCTTTTTTTTCTTCACTTTTGCTGATTTCCTTGTTTTTCTGATTATTCTGGACCTCCGGTTTAATCAGCACTCGATGGTTGGGAAAGTTATTGATTTCTTTCGCTGGTGCGTTTTCAGATGTGATCTTGTCCACTCTGAAATCAGAGAAGAAAATCATAGTGAGTCAGATGAAACAATGGGCATATTATTTCTGCGATTCAATCTAGGAAAGATTATTAAAAAATTACCTTTTACAAAAAATAAATAAATAAATAAATAGAACAAAAAACAAAACAAAAACAAAAACCCCTACCAGGGTCACTAAGGACAAGAGAGTACAAATCCTCTGTATGAAACAAAACACACAGAAAGTAAAAGGTGGTGAGTGTACCCACCATTAGAAATCTGGAAATAAAGCAAAATAAGATTGCCCTTTCGCAGTGAAACCACAAAAGCCACATTTGAAGAACTGCAGCATCCAGCCATTTGAAATAAACAGCATAGTTTCCAGCCAGGAGGGCTAATTCATCATGAGACAAACATGAGTCTGGTTTGTGGAAATGATGACACCAGGAAATTACAGTCTGGTGCTATCAGAGATCTGAACCACATGACCATCCAACTCTGTTCGTGTTCAAGAGCATCCGAGTTTCGGTTAATTGCCCTTGGAGCCAGACTACACATATTCAGCTTCCAGCTCTAGCTCCTTCTAGCTGTTTCTGTCTTTGGGCAAGGCACAGAAAACTGCTGTGCCTCCGTCTCCTTTTTGGTAAATGGGGATAACTGAAGGATGTGAGGGCCAGAGGGGTACATCAGTACACTTATTACCATTATCACCCCATCCCATCAAGCCATTTTGGATTAGAATCTGGCATCCCATGTCCATCTTTCACCAGAAGGAAGTGCCGCTGAACTGTGTGTGTGTCTGGACCACTGGACAGTTTTACTGCTCAGCATCCCAGCTGCTATCTCTAGGTCTTTCTGATGAGCATCAGCTCCCCTGAGACCAATCACTTCCAGGCTCTGACAAGGCCAAACTGAACCTGCATGAAACGACCAAGATCAAGCCATGCTGGGTGCCTTTCAGGAACTGGCCACACTTCACTACGTAAAAATGCTGTTGAGTCCTAAGCATGGCACTGCTGCCAGTTTCAGTGACGTGCAGACAATAATCCATAATACACAGCTGTTGATAGGTAGCTTGGAATATAATCCATGCGGCAAAAGTGAAATGGGACTATTTTCCTTTATTTTTATTTTTTTTATTTTATTGATTTTTCACAGAGAGGAAAGGAGAGGGATAGAGAGCTAGAAACATCGATGAGAGAGACACATCGACCAGTTGCCTCTTGCACACACCCCACCGGATATGTGCCCGCAACCAATGTACATGCCCTTGACCGGAATCGAACCTGGGACCCTTGAGTCCACAGACTGACGCTCTATCCACTGTGCCAAACCGGTTTCGGCGGGACTTTTTTTCTTGAAGTGAAGTTCTGGACTACCCATTTATTCAGGTTAGATAAAACATCTAGCATCTAGATTGGAAGCAATATAGATACTGAGAAAATTTACTGATATGCTATGCGGAGTGCCTTCCCTCTTGAAAGACAATAGTCAGAAGACTTCCACAAAGGCACACTAATCCTAAATTTGGAGGTGGGGAGGGAAGGAATTTTTATCATGGATATCAAATATCTGGAAAGATTTTTTTAAACTTAGTTACTTCTAGTCTATCTAAAGCTATATTTTAAACTAGACCTGCATTGCCTTTTGTCTTATTCCACTCCCCCCCCCCAAAAAAATGTATCATTTAAGAAAATGTAATGTAAAAAAAAAAAAATTACACATGCTGAATTTTCTCTAACTGAAATAAAACTGATTCGGAAATGTACCCTAGGATAATACAACTAATGCAAAGCTTGGGCTCTAACATTAAAAAGAGTCATTTAAGTTAATGTAGAAGATACATGCAAATACAGAAAATGAAAATAATAGGCCACGGAGATGGAAATTATTCAGAGAATGTATGTTATGCTTAGATTGCTTTATTCCATCAATGATCTGCACACTAGGGGACTATGTTAAAGTTCACAGCTTAAACACTTGAGGAATTCAGAAGCAATGAACTATCTAGTTAAAAACAAATGTTTTTATCACTTAGGTGATAAGCCTTAATAAATACTTCTAAGTATTCTGGCCATAGGCAAGAGAGCCCACTGCCCTAAAACCAAGCAAAGAAAATCCCCCAATAGTAATGAAATGAAATATGACAGTAATTAGGTACCTTCAGTTTTAATCAATAGTAACAGGGCAGATAAAAATATAACAGCTAGAAGTAAAATGAAAAATAATTTCTACATGGCAACAGTGACTGACACCTAAGTGGTGTTCAATAATTCCTGGCTAACCACACAACTGGCTAAAAATTGTTACGGGCACGTAATAGGTTACCAGAAGTCAAACCAAAATATTGACTGTCATCTTTATCACCCTAAATTATGAGTAGTTATTAGTTTTTAGAGTGCAAAGTATCAGAAAAAAAAAGATTAAAAGTTCTGAGATTATATAATACTGAAATTATCTGGAAATCAAATATTTTACTTAATATATTGATTTCTGTATTCTAAATAATTCCCTAACAAATTGACTTTGAAGTTAAAATTATTTTAAGATTTTCCATGAATTATTTTCATCTACATTGTTTTCTCCAGCAACCAGTGCTAACTACTTCACTGTTATGTTCATTCAGGTCATTTTAACAAATGGAATTCCTGTTGAGGTGGTTTTTCTTAAAACTATCTGTCCTGAGTTCAATCACGGGCCTTCTTTTTTTTATGCTCCTTATTTTTCCCATGGCTCAGTTACTAGTGATTACTTACGTTGCTTTAAACTTGGAATTTTAACAAACAAACACATAGTATCAACTTAAGTCTTTTAGCCAATAAGTCATAAGACTTTATCTGAATACTAAAAAAGACTAAAGACAATTCTCTTTTTTCCTGAGAAGAGAAAATACCCAGAAGCACAAGTTAGCATTTTCCTTTTAAGACCTGCTCAATTATCACTGAGAAAAAAATATTTTAATTTTATCATACATCTTTCTTTTAAACGACAGGAATATAAAAAATATTTTTAAAGCACAATATTCAGCTTTAGAAACAGATTTCCTCTCACTAGTTCTTAATTTAGTTTAATATTAAAATGACCCATGTTTAAACAGGGAAAAAATAACATTAATTTTAATAGTACATATTCATATTATCAACCAATCTAAGTGCTAAGGTTTCAAAAGAAAAGATGTAGATTTCAGCAAAAAGGAGATATATTTAGAAATAATCTATATGCTTGATGTATTATTTTCTGGAGACATTCATCATAAAACAATCAATTAACCAAGCAATGCTGAAACACACACACACACACTCCCCATCAAAACTCAAAACAAAATTTTATTTCAATTTATCAAACTTTAAAAACACACAACATAATTTTTAAAATATAATGAAATTAACTTCATGAATATAAATTCTCTTCTAAGATTTAGGACTTAAAAAAACACCTATCTTGTATAGTTTTAAGATAACAATTAAAAATGTACTTACCGGAAATTAAAGGTAATTCTGTAAGAAGAAAGAACATTCAGTTTGAATGTTAGAATTCTGGATTCACCTCAGTACACTGATAGGTGAAAATGAATGAGGAGGAAAGGTGGAATAAAAATGCAGGTGGTATCTCAAAACTAACTTAGTAAGGTGTGTTAATTTTATATAAAACATGAATGAATCCTTGGTTTCTGAAAAATGATTTCATACCATGACTACTAAAATGATATGTACTATGATAATGACATACTTACAAGGCATGGAATAAAATGTAAGTGGAAATCACCCTTATTTTTCCTACAAGCCTTTACCTTTTCACAGGTTCTGTCTGTACGAGGGCAGCATCTAACATGGCTTTCATCCATAATTCCATCTCCTTTCCTGTATCAGTGCAGAAATAATAGGTCCGCATGTTTGGATGGGCTGCCTGATTGAAAATGACACGATCGCTTTAAATAGGAATATGGGATCTGTAAAAGAAAAAATAAAAAATTAAGTGGTCTTGTATAGAGATCACTACCATGAAATTTCAAAAGAGCAGACTTGTTATATCTTCAGATATAGAAATAAATGATTTAAGAAAAATATAATTCAACCTTGAAACTGTATACATATTAATTTTTCCTTTTAACTTTACAATTTTTCTTAAAAAAAAAAAAAAAGAACAGGAAGAAAGGAGGCAAAAAATGAAGCACTTAATTGTGTCGTTCCCATGTAAAAGTCCCCAGCAATTTCCATTTACTATAATTCATGCTTTATGCAAGAATGTACCATGCCAGGTTAGTGTGACTCAGTGGCTGAGCATTGACTTATAAACCAGGAGGTCATGGTTTGATTCCCAGTCATGACACTTGCCTGGGTTACGGGCTTGGTCCTCAGTGGGGGCTTTCACGAGGCAACTGATCAATGATTCTCTCTCATCATTGATATTTCTATCTCCTTCTTCCTTCCTCTCTCAAATCAGTAAAAACACATTAAAAAAATTGCCCCAGAGAAACCAGCAATAAAAGTAACAAATATGTACATATCTTAGTATTTCCCCTTGTTAGACATTCCTTTAGTCCTCAAAAGGTGCTACTCTTAAAGCATTACCCTCATCTTTAGAGACACCTATATACAAACATAACAGATGTATCAATAATCCCAAATGGTATGTCCCTTTAACTTTTATTCCCAAGTTTCAGGACTGAAATATAAATGTTTTGGGTTTGAGGAAGGAGGCCTATGTAAGTGGTAAGTTGTGTTTGTTTAATTTTCTTGTTCAATGTGCCTCTATTCCAGAGAAACGGGAAAACAGAATGAAGAAGGTACCGATGAGACTGCTACCAAAGTTGTAAGCACTGAGCTCAGCTTAACCCAGGGGCGGATCTGGCAAAGATGGACAGCATCAGTAGCGGCATCCAAGTAAAACAAACAAATAAAGCAAAACAAAAACAGGCCACGGTGGGGATTCTGTGGGGGAAGCATTCTTCATTTCCATTTGAAGATGCCCATGACAGTTTCTTATTAGACAATGAACAACAAGGAACAATAAATAAAGGCTATGACAGAACAGAATGAGGCAAAGAAAAGAGTACTTAGTATGTAGCTGCAAAATACAAAAAGACAAGGGAAATAAATCTGGAACTACAAATTTTATTTCAATATCCTGTCTGGCTTTTATCAACAATATCAGTTAGCTTCTTCAACATTTTCTCCAGAAAGCATCAGAATATAAATAAATTCAATAGACACAATAATCAAAATATCTATATAACCAACAAATCTCACTTAATTATGTAAAACACATAAAATGATCTATAGATACAACAGAAGTTTAATATGCAAATTTTAAAAAAAGATCTATAGATATAACTCAAAAGAGCTTGGCTGGTGTGGCTCAGTGGTTGAGCATCTACTCATGAACTAAGAGGTCATAAATTCAATTTCTAGTCAGGGCATATGTCCGGGTAGCTAGCCTGGTCCCTGATAAGGGCATGCAGGAGCAGCTGGTTAATGTTTCTATCTCCCTTCCTCTCTTTCTAAACAAACAAACAAACACACACACACAAAAGAAATAGCTCAAATGCTGTATGTCGCTAAAATAATTAAAACCACCACAAAATGTAACTGGTCTGAGTGGGATTTTGGAGAAATAAAGATCACTGCCCATATTTTGATCAATGGAAGGAAGACTGGCTGGTGCTAAGAAGACCCAGTTGCAGCCCTGACTCAAGACAGGCTTGCCACCTGCGAAATAGAAATGTTTAGTAGACGATGGCAGAGTTCCCCGTCAGCTCTGAGACCCACACACTGTTTAACGGCTGTCTGTGAGGTTCCTACTTACCATGGTGGTGAGCAGCAGCAGCAGTGTCAACGGACTTAGTAGTAAAAGCAGCTCATACATTCAGAGGAAACATCACAGAAGAGAGGATTTGAAACAGAAATTACTATCATTGTTACTGATAACATTTAAATTAAATCAAATAATTACAGAGAGAATACAATTAACAGCCACTTTTATTGCTATTTTAACGTTCTAGTATTGCTTTTAAGAGCCTAAGAACCAAACAAAATATCCTAGGAGTAGTACAAATTCAACAAACCTTGGCCAAATTAATGAGCTAGCAAAACAAACACAAAAAAAACGAACACACACACACACACACACACACACAAATGTAAACCCATGGTCAAATAACATTGTCAGTGCCACTCAGTTTTAAATGTATACTTTTTAACAAGGAAGGGGGTAATACTCAGGTCTGCTAGATTTAATAATAAATTTTACGCCTCAACTTAAGATGTTTTCTCAAAAGTACCTGAGGTTCACAATGTACTTGACTAAAAAAAACAAACAAAACATTTGCAAATATTCTATAAGATCATAAATGTACATGGTTGGTGTCTCTTATTGTACTAGCAGAGGCCTGGTGCATGAAAATTCATGCACTGGATGGGGGAGGTCCCTCAGTCTGGCCTGCCCCCTCTCACCCTTCGGGAGCCCTCAGGGGCAGGAGGTGACTCAGCGATCAGGGGAAGGCAGCACCTCGGCCAGCCCTGGTTATCTGTGCCTCAGGCGGCTCTGGGTGACTGGGCATCCACCATCCGAGGCTTGCCTGTACCTCGGGCCTGCCCTGAGTGGCTGGGAGGCTGAGGGGACTGGACACCACCATCTTTGAGGGCGTGACAGTCAATTAGCAAAGTCCCTCCTTCTTGGCTGTGGGAAGATTTTTTTTTAGTCTTAAGTACATTGTGAACATCAGGTACTTTTGAGAGGCATGAGGGCCAATTATTCTATTCCCTCTTTATTAGAGAGCATTCCCCAAAATTTATTATGAAAAATTCAAGCATTTAGTAACATTAAAAAAAAAAGAAAAATTATCACCAGAACACCTATAGCTATATATCTACCAGTTATTAGCATTTTTACATTTTTGCTTTATCTAGAATCATTTGAAAGTATTGACATAAAGCCTAAATATATGAATTCCTAACTGAAGGATATTCTCCTCTTCAATCACAGGACTATTAATATATTTAAATATAAAAATGACTGACTGAAATATCTTTTTGTAATAATCTATTTTTTCAATCAATGCAAGATTCAAACTAAGAATTAAAAATATGAATATTTCCTTACCTTAAAAGCATATTTGCGATTGATGTGATCCTCAGAGGTAAGCATAGCTATCTGAAAGCTAGGCAACAGTATGCTTCCCAAGATACCCTCTTCTTTTTCATCTAAGAAATATTTGAATATCTGATTAGAATTTTATTTTATTTATTAATTAATATTTTATTAATTTTTTACAGAGAGGAAGGGAGAGAGATAGCTAAAAACGTCGATGAGAGAGATACATCGATCAGCTGCCTCTTGCACACCCCCTACAGGGGATGTGCCCGAAACCAAGGTACATGCCCTTGACCGGAATTGAACCTGGGACCTTTCAGTCCACAGACCGACGTTCTGCCACTGAGCCAAACCGGTTTCGGCCTGATTAGAATTTTAAATGTCCTCATGAAGAACTAATTTTCTCAAAACTTATTTTGACCAAATCAAAAGGTTTTTTTTTTTTTTTTACATATAAATGAACTGTATTTATGTACTGTTTAGTCTGATACTTTATAAGGTGTTTAGGGAAAATATTAAATAGCCAAAGTATATTCTTCTTTACTTTCAACAAATTTCCCTATCCTAAGCAAATCAAAATTGGTTCCACACGCCAGAAAAATGTCAATTAGAAATGAAAACATACATTTATTTGGCATATATATGGAATTTTACAAAATCCTCTGACA